GAATCTAGGCCAATTGACATGCTTCCCACTTGACTTCCACCAAGGTCGTTGGAGACCTGGACCAGACCAAGGTTGGAATGCAGGTTGCAGGTTGTCCACGCCCTGGAATTAGTTTAACCTGAGACTGCCAAGACTGTGAGGCCATGGTCAGCTCCCCCTTCTTCTCCAAGGCTTCATTGTCCAATATATGAGCCACTAACCATGGATGACTATTTAAATTTCAATGTCAATTAAAATGAAATAAAATTTATAACACATTTCAAGTATTAAACAGATCAGGTATTTCTGACTTTGCAAATTAAATAACCTATAAATTTTCTTATCACGTACTCTAAAATAGCCAATGAAACAGAATTTATTTAAAATGCACCGTTGAGTTCCCATGAAAGAAAGAGAAACAAGATGGGACTGACCCCTGCAGATGACAGCTAACGAGCTCACCCTGAGTCTGCCTTGGGGTGAGGATGGAGTGAGCAACAGGGATGTGTGCTCAAAAGCCCATATGGGGTATGCCTAAGGTCAGAGTGGACTTCAGATCTCTGCATGAAGCTGGACCCTTAGAAAGCTACACTCTCAGCAAAATGGCAAACTCGAGAAAATGTGCCATTCTACAAGGAGGTGACAAGCAAGCTGGTCTGTTTCGGGATGAGAATCCAAAACTCCCAACCTAGCATGACATGGATGTCAATTTACTGGACAGAGACAGTCCAGAAACTCCCCAGCCGGTGCACTAGAGCCCAGTCCAGGGATACTCCAGGGGCATGAGCAAAAGGGGAAAAGCCCCGAAGCCATGCTCCCAGGATCCAAGGATGCAACAGATTCTATCAGAGGTAAAAAATAATTAAGACTCAGCCACCTTAACTATGAACTCAAGAGTCCTGCAGGATTGAAACTTGGGAGACACAACAAACAGATGAACTCGAGAACACACAAGAATCTGAAAGAGAACACAAAGTGTCTTAGAGTGTTTGCCTTTGGAGGGAAGGAGTGACTGGGAGGCATTTGGGAGGCATTAGGGAGGCTTTGGGAGATGGCAAGACTGGAATGTTCTGCATCCTGACCCAGGTGCTGGTTATAAGGGTGTGTTCAGTCTTTGAAAACTGAATGAGGTATACACCTATAATTTGTACACTTTTCAGGATGTATGTTGTAATTCAATAAAATGATTTAATAAATGATTAAAGAAAAAAATGTTAGGATCAGAACTCTATAGAATAAGACTTATAGGGGGCAGGTTTGTGTAAGAACCAAACAGAACTTTTAAAAATGAAAAGTACACTCAATGAAACAAATTTTTATAAAGGAAATGAGTTACTTATTAGGTAAAATGTACCTGAAATGAAAATTAGTGAACTGGCAGACATACCTGAGGAACACTTTATCTGCGCCCAGAATGCACAAAAGGCTAAAAAGTGAACAAGCACAGAAGTTAGGAGACACAGAAAAGAGAACAACAAAGTATGACAATACATCTAATAGGATTCTATTAGGAGAATGAAAGAATGGAGGGAAGACAATATTTAAAGAGAGAACAATTAATAAATTTCCAGAATTGACAAAAGACACAAGCAGCACAAACCCTCCCGTGCTCAGAAACAGTAAGTCTACATTTAGAACCACCATAGTGAAAGTGCAGAACAAAGGCAAAATGTTTAAAGTTACCATAGAAAAAGAATGCTGATTATTTGACAGGAAGAGTGACAATAGGAACCATAGCAACAACAGAGAATAAAAAAGACAACAGAATAACATCATCAAATTTTACGGGAAAATAACTCTCAACTGTAAAATCTATACCCAGCTTAATTATCCTTCAATAATAAAAGTAAAATTAATTTTTTTTCCAGAAAAGATTTAGAGAATTTCTCTCTCATAAAGCCTTTCTAAAGATCTGTAAAGTATGTATTCCAGGAAGAACTGGAATTCAGAATGAGGTCATAGGTTGCAAGAAGTGAAGACAACAAAAACATTAGTATGTATGTGGATAAATCCAACAAGCATGGACTTTTAAAAAGCCTAATTTAATGTTGAAAATAAAATACTGGAAATCAATAACTTGCAAGATGTTGTATTTGTTCTTTCAGGTCTGTGCTAACAAACTGCCACAAACTGGGTGGCCTAAAACAGATTTATTTTTTACAGTTCTGGAGGCCAGGAATCAAGGTGTCACCAGTGTTCATTCCTTCTGGAGGTTCTGAGGAAGAATCCATTCCCTGCCTGTCTTCTGGCTTCTGGTAGCTGTTTGCACTCCTTGGCTTGCAGCTGCATCATGGCTAGTTCTGCCTCCATCTTTACATATCTTTTGGGGTTACTATTCAACTTACTATAGATGGCAAGAGAGTTGTTTAAGAGTTCTAGGGTCCTTGTTTGCTTTGGGATTAATTTCAGACTTTTTGTTTTAAAGATTTCTTTATTTATTTTCAGAGAAAGGGAGAGAGAAGGAGCGGGAGAGAAACATCGATGTGAGAGAGCAACATCAGTTGGCTGCCTCTTTCATGTCCCCAACCAGGGGCCTGGCCTGCAACCCAGGCATGTGCCCTGAGTAGGAATCAACCTGTGGTGTTTCAGTCCACAGGCTGGTGCTCAATCCACTGAGCCACACCAGCCAGGCTAATTTTAGACTTTTTAAATCAAATATGCATGCTGGAAATAAAACAATAACTTCTAAATTCTAAAATATTTGAAATAGAATTATAAGGAAAGCTGGGGGGAAAAGTTTTGATCAATTTAATAGAAAATAGAATCAAAGAAAGGCAATCAAAGAAGAAGCAAAGTATATAAAAAGCACAAAACAGGATGACGTAAATAATCCAAATATATCAGTAATCACAATAAGAGAAAATGGACTATCTTGCCAAGTAAAGGGTAAACAGAACCTGACCATTTGTTATTAATTATAATTTAACCACATTACTCCTAAGAGAGTCACCTAAAAATAAAAAGATTCAGAAAGGCTAAATGTAAAGTGATGTTAAAAATAAACTAGGCAAAAGAAACCTGTTGTGCATGTGCGTTCTATACATTATGAACATATTTAGACTTTAAGGCAAAAATAGAAAAACACTAGCAGGAATAAAGAGCCTTACTATATAATGTTGAAAGGATCGGTTGACCAAAATAAAATAATTCAAACTTGTATGCATGTAATAAGTCTCCAAATATACTATGCAAAAATTATAGGATTGCAAGGATAAATGGGCAAATCCACAATCACAGTGAAAGATTTTAATATACTTCTGCCACTAATTGAGAGCTACATCAAGCAGACAAAATTATTGTGACAAAGATTTAAACTACCTTTATAAAACTCCATAAGCTAGAATAAACATGGAACATTTTCAAAAATGGACCATCAACTAAGTCAGAAACAAGCCTTAATACCAAAAAATTAATATCATACATACCATATTATCTGACTACAATACAATAAAATGAGAACTCAATGACAGAAAATGTAATCAAGTCCCCATACACTTGAAACTTTAAAATAGACTCTTGAGTATTTACTGGTCAAAGAAGAAATGAAAACAACACATACACATAAAATTTGTAGGATTTGGCCATTGGAATAGTTAGAGGAATTTTTTTTTGTCCTCATCCGAGGATCTGTTTATTGATATGAGAGAGACAGACAGACATCGAACGGTTGCCTCCAGTACTCACACCCAATCTCGTAAATCGAAACTGCAACCTAGGTATGTGGCCTGACTAGGGATTGAACCCCAAAGCTTTCTGTGTACAGGACGGCGCTCCAACTGAGTCACCCAGCCAGGGCCCACCCTGCATTTTTTTGATGACTATCTAGAATTTCATTATATGGTGTATCATCATCTAACTAATCTCCATCAAAGATCATTTGGTGGTTCCAGACTTAAGCTGTTACAAATAATGCAGTGAATTGGTTTCCACAAATGGAATTACAGAGTCAAAAGGCTTTTGAGCTTTTGTGTTTTTGATCATTGTTTCCCAATTGCCCTTTATAAATGTATAGTTTCCAACAGTGGATGAGAGTGCTACTCACCGACACCGTCACCTTCACAACGAATCATCAAACTTCTAAATTTGCCAAGCTGATAATCATAATGAATGAGATTGGGTACTCTCTATATATTTTCTCTTTTTTGTTTTTCCACCTGTCTAGTCCTTTTGACCATTTTTTAAGTTACTGGTTGGTCTTAAATTCTTTTTAGGAGGTCTCTCTGTAATAGAAAAATTAGCCATTTTTTTCCTGTGATGTATTGCAATGTTCACATCAAAGACTCTGCAAAAGCAAGATACACCAACTCTTTTGCCAATTCAACGACAACCTACACTCTAATCTCATCCCCCGCCCCTACTCCAACCCCAATAACCAGGCCTCGAGCAGATCCAGGAAAGCGACTCATATCTGCACTCTCATCGCCTCACAAGCTGGGAGCTGACCCCAACGTCTCATCTCACCCCTTCACGGCCCTTCGCCCCCGTGTACTCTCAGTGAGGGCCCAGCTCTGGAATCTCCAAATGGAGGAGGTGGCCGTTTGGTGTTAGCCAGCGACCCCTTGGCCGGGAAGAGGGTGTCAAGTGGGGCCAAAGTGAGCAGGATTCCGGATTCCCGCCAGTTCTGGAGTACGAAACGCTAGGCGAAAGCAGAAAGCACTGCGGGCCTGGCACAGGGTCCAAGGCCAGCCGGGAGGGCGGCCGTCAAGGGGTGCGGACGGAGCCACACGAGGTTCCCGAGAGAGGCAAGGCTCGCGCCACGGGCGGGGCAGCTGCTGGAAGCGGCTGCCGGTAAAGCCGCAGGGATAGCACACAATGGGCGGGGGCGCGAGGCCCGGGGCCGGGCAAACGCGCCGCCGCAACACGTGGACCGCAGAGCTCGCAGGGCCAAAAGAAACCCGTCGGCCCAGGCAGGGCGCGGCGCGGCGTACGTGCGCGCGCGCGCGTGCGTGCATGCAATTTGCGATCAGGCGTCGCTGCGGACAGCCCCGGCGGCCGGGCGGGGGGGAGTTATATTGCGGGGTCCTTCCTCGCTCACCCTGGTTCCTCTCGGAGCGGAGACGGCAAATGGCGGACTTCGATACCTACGACGATCGGGCCTACAGCAGCTTCGGCGGCGGCAGAGGGTGAGGTGGCCGTGCGCGGACTCCAGCCGGGTGCGGGGGACTGGGGGAGTTGGGGACCCCAGGGCGGCGGCCTTCCCATTCTCACCCAGGGCGGCGGAAGGTAGGGTCTGGGCTGGGCCGGCAGAGGCCTGGAAGAGGCGCCTGGAGGGCTGGGGCCTGGAAATGGCGCGCTCGGGAATGGGGCGGTTAGGCGCCTGGGTTCTTGCTCGCAGAGGGGATCCTTGGCTCCGTCGGAGACGACGTTTTGTCTTCCCACTTCCTCAGCCGCAAAGTCAGGCGGTAGCGGCACTAAGCGCCCGGGAAGACGAGCTCCCGCTTCCAACCCCATCCCCCAGTATGGCAGAGCCAGCATGGGTCTCTGCTGCAGCGTGGGGTCGGGGCCTCGGCCTGTCCCTCATGGGTCCTGTTCCCCGCCTCGACCCTCCTGCTTGCTTGCGCAGCAGGCGCCCTGACCCTCTTCTCCGGGAGGCAGAGAGAGCGACGATCCCCTGCCCCTTACGTGTGAGGCAGGGATTTGATGGCTGGAGCCCGGGAATGGTCCGGTTCACATCGGGAGTAGGGAGACCAACCAAAACAAATACATCAGAGCATTTTTTTTATTTCTTGGGCTAGAGTGCCTTATTGACAAGGTACTACGTGCTTGCTGGCAGAAAATTTTTATTTCTGCCTGGTTTCTCTTTACGACCTAGAGAAAGACTCGCATTTAGCCTCGTTCCAATTCTGGCTGTATACAGACTGTATGTAATTGAGGTGCCGTCTTTAAAAGAAAAATCTTTGACTAGTGAATAAAAAGCTTATTCTGTTTAATTCCAAGAATCCGCACTGGGTTATTATTTTTTTTAATACAAGTTACCTCGTACAGAATTTAGAAGATAGGCTATAAACGTCTTGCTATTTGTCAAGGACACACTTGGCCTTTGTGTGCTTTTACAAAAAGATTACTTTCCCAGGATAACACCACAATAGCACCTACTGAGGTGTCCAGTCTCCTGGGTTTCAATCCCAAAAGTATCTTTGTTTGTGAAGAATGACCTTTTAATGCCTTGGTTTGGGAATGGCTCAGAGGCTTGTTTGGGTTTGGGAGTGTACCCAATATCATTCATTACACTATAACGTGGAAGTGGAGCCACCTGTTCTTTCAAAGAATATTTTATTTGCTAATAAAAAAGAAATAGATGTTGGGTGACATATGAAATATTGTTGCCTCTGGGGTAGGTTTCTAGACATCAGATTTGTACTTGAAATTTAATAACTAGAATTTTTCTTCTACATTCATTTACAAATACCCAGTGAAACTACTCAAGACAGAGTGTCTCGATATAGGGCAGATCCAAGGATTTTTATTTTGTTCGGGACTACTCTGAGTCATAATACTGAGCCTGTGGATTTTCTTTTTAATTCCACCTTTTTCACAAATTTACCAGCTCCTCTGTGACTTGAGATGTTCAAGTTAGACTTCTAGTGGATGTCAGTTTTGACAGTTGGAGTGACTTAAAGTGATCAAAAGTAAAATTCTCCTAAGATACTATTTCAGATATCAAAAGACAAATGAAAATGTTAGCCGTTTGCTCATATGTCCTCCAAAAACTGATATGAGAGAACAGCAGCCAGCATTCTATAACGCCTAAGCTTCCTAATAAAAAGTCCCCTTACTATTAAACATCTTGAAATTTTCCATTTGACTTCCTATCCATGTAAAAGTGCATGGGAAATATTGCTCAGATTCTTAAAAACCTATTGGTGAATTTGGATGTTCATTAAAATAGTATCTGGAGTGGGTCTGGATATTTCACAGTGGACCAGGCTTGTAGTGTTGTGCCAGACTTTTGGTCCGTGCCAAAACTTTACTTTTCCAGAAAGTCAGTGTTATTTTATGTTACTGTGATCTCTGAAATTTAGCAAGATGGTAGAATAGTTGACCACTCTTTTATGGTGATTTGAATTGTTACGTGAAGTATATCCACATACAAAATGTCTTGATGCTGTTTGCTTGTGTTCAGATACAATGCTTAAGCATTATAGAAGATTATACCACCTATGGAAAGCCAGTCTTCTATTGCTTTGGTACTTTTGTAAGGCATGTCACCTCTAGTATAAAATACCTTAGCTAGATAAGATGCCTCAGCTCTAAACCACTTGGGTCACAGGTGAAAAGAAATCAAGTTTCAAATGTACAGTCATAATCTAAAAACCTCGTTTTTATAATTACACATTCCCCGTAAGTTTATTTTATAACCATGTATAATAACCAGTGCCGTTGTGGGGAAGCAATATTGAATAACTGCTTTATTTTCCCAGCCTACAGAGGCATATCCCCGGCAGCGAAGGAGAGAACCGAGATTACATTGTTGATCAGAAAGGAAGACAAAACAAAATTCCGAATTACCAAGAGTTGATTCTACCACATCTTGAATGTATTTTGTATCACAGATTGCTAAATTGTCCTGAGGTTCTAGTTTCTCATTTGCCATTGTGGAATCAATAAAGTGGAGAGTAATACTATTTTACAGTCTTGACTGCAGTAAAGCCTTTTGAGTGTTTAACCTGAAACCATCAATCCTGAAAATTGGGTTGGCACTTGGAGTTAGCAAGAATTGAGATTGCTGCCCAGGCCATTGTGGCTCAGTTGGTTGGAGCATCTTCCAGTAGACCAAAAAGTTGAGGGTTCAGTTCCAGGGCAGGACACATACTTAAGTTGCAGGTTCAATCCACAGTCAGGGTATGTACAAGAAGGCAATGTTTCTTTCTCTCCATGCCCCTCCTCTCTCTAAAAAGCAAGGAGAAAAATGTTCTAGGGTGAGGGTTAAAAAAGAAGAAATGAGATTGCTGAAATGGTACCTGCTAAAAATTGATTAAACTACCAAACTTAAAATATTATCAGGTTCCAATTAAGCGGGTCAGGATTCTAAACTTTTGAGTCTTGTGAGACTTAAGGTTGGCATCTGTCTAAATTTTGGAGCATATTTTAACTTGAAACTAGAACGAAAGCAGTATATAATAACAGTAGCTATTTTCACTGATACCAGGATCTGTAAAGGTATTGAAAAGTTTATTTTAAATTCTGTTTACCTTTCAAATGGCAAGTTATTTGGGTTTATTGTCATCCTTCTCTTCACTCTTCAGTCTCTCAGTGCTTGATTCCAAATCAACCTCTATGAAAAGTGTTACAACAAATACTTGGTTTTATCAAGAGGTATCTGGGAGACAGTTCAGGCAGAAGCCCTAGCTTCAGAATCAGGCAGACCAGAGCTTGAGTGTCAGTTCAGCCATGTATTAGCTATGTGATCTGGAACAAGGTCTTTTACCTCTCTGAACCTCATTTTCCCCACATGTAAGATACAAACTTCTCTATAGGGCTGTTGGGAATATTAAATGAGATATACCTAAAGTGCATGGCAGAGTATCTAGTACATAAAAATGCTTAGTAATTGGTAGCTATTGGTTTATAATTTTTTAATCCTTAAAATATTTCCCTTGCAGTTAGTAGAGTGGGGGATGTTCTTTCCCACAACTGCACTGGTTAACTGGAGTGAGTTTTTACTTACCTGGCTCTATTTTTAAATCCAAGTAAGAGAAATCTATTAGTATTATAAATGAGTACTAAGTAATTTGTTCTTTGAAATTTTTGGTTTGTTACAGAATTTATGCTTGGAATGTTTAATATAATGACTTCTGGGATTTCTAAAAAATTTCTTAGTATATTTTTTAAATTCATATTTCTGCTCGAAATTAATAATAGTATTCTGGGAAGACACACAATTTTAGTCTACCCTGAAGTTTAGAATAGTCAAAGCAGAATGTTTGCCAGAGGGTGGGGTCAGTCCAAAATCAGATTCCATCTTCCAGTTTCCTGCTTCCCCAAAGAAACTGAAGGGAGAGTTGGGCTGGAGAGCCTGCCCTGCCTCCTGACCTTTTCATTAAAGTCGACCTTTAAAATTGAGTGTCCTAGGTTCTTTCAAGTTTTTGCCATGTCATGGTTTCTAAATTTCTTTTTGATGGGTCCTTTGGATGTACTCCAACATGTTGATACTGCATTGAAAATATGACACCTCCAGTTAAGCATTGTACTCCAGTAGAGAGTAGATGGAGACATTCTCATCTCCCTTGTTCTGCACACATTCGTCTGTAATTAATCAGTTGCATTTTTGGAGTCTTGAATATCTGACTTCATAGAAGACAGTCGGTTTCTCATACTTCTTAGATAGATTTTGGTTGACATAGGTATATGAACAAAGGTATGTACTGTACTCTCCAGCCTTATACAGATAAGCAGTTGGAAAGGGAGTAGTTTAATAGCCTTTTCAGGTAATTGTGAATATTCTTACTTGTATTTGCTATTGTACTATACCAGAACGCAACAAGTGGTAGTTTACATAAAGATCAGTTGCATTGTATAATCTGAAACTTTATCAATAGACTTTCCATACTGTTATATTAAAACCCTTCAGTCTGTCTTCTATTTTGAATGACATGATACACAGTAGTCATTCGGGAAATACTGGTAGGCTGAGTTATGCGGATCTTCCAAATGTTGACACATTTATAATACAGCATCAAAAATCATGTTTATTAATATCACTGTCAATTTCATTGAGAAATTTTAGGTATTGGGAGTCTGTCAAGCTTATGTTGATGAATATAGCTTTTCTAAAATTCTTTTTTGCTTGAAAGCTTGTGTTTTATCGTTGGCTTACAGGTACTGTTATAGTTGTTTTCCTTGAAGTGCCTTTCTTTTGGAGAGAGAAGGGAAGGATAATCAATCTGTTGTTCCACCCATTTATGCATTTTCATTGGTTGCTCCTTGTATGTGCCTGAGCTGGGATTGAACCTGCAACCCTGGCATAATGGGACAGTGTTCCAACCAACTGAGCTTCCCGGCCAAGACCAGGTTCACTGCATTTTCAAAAAATTGTCAAATACCTAAATCTGAATGACCAGTTTGTCACTTATCTCAGATAAAAGTGATGTTTCATTCCTGGAGGTAACCATTATACTTCTGT